ACCAATGTATTTGGGATGGACACCACAAACCAAACATGATTCCGACAGGGCAATTGCCCAGCTCTTTGTGACCACCATGGACTAATCAGTCAGTACAGGAATGAAACCCCAATTCATCGATACGGATCCCAATTCCTGAGTAGAGTGCCGCGTTACATATGAGTATATACGTATTTTTTGTATACTGTAGTTTTTTAGGTTTATATATACATATATTTAAAAATATCATACTGAATATGGAGGATGGTTTGATCTTGAAATAAACGTGGACTCAGAATGACGCCCAAAGCAAGAGTCACCGTGGCAGGACTTTGGTTTGGAGGCGACCGCCCTGTGTCAGACGGTTTTTGGAATGTTTGCCACTTCTAGAGGACTATCCTGTGTTACATACATGTTCATATTCCAATGATTTAATGGAACATGTTATATGGAATATTCTATTGGAATCATTGGAATGTTATTTTTCCATCGTTTTCCAATGATTTATCCATGTGCTTCAGCTCCTCTCACACTTCGCAAAGTCTCAGCGGATTTGAATGTCAGGTCTTCCACCATTCAAAGGCCAAAGACGCTTGGAACAATCCCTGCTTCCATCCTGCTACGCTGTGGTGGCATGTTCAACTGCTCATATTGGGACATAACTGGGACGGAGAAATCAATCCAAAAATCATCCCCAATCTGTGACAAGTTCAATGGGGAAAAGTGATGATTAACTAATTACTAACCAGTGGATTGGGGGGGCGATATGGTCATGGAATTGTGTATTGTGGTGACCAACAGTGATGCTTCACCAAGGATGCCTTCTTCTTATTCTCAGATGCTGAGTATGGGCACCTGGACACCACAGCGGAGCCTTTCGGAAGGCGATTGTGGATCAATGTCCAGTACCCTCTGAGCCTAGTTGCCGTTTGCCGCCAAGAATGGGATCATTACATGTGGCATCCATGAGAATTCATGGTGTCCGTGTTGGGTAGCATAGCAGCAGAGTAGCTGCTGATTTGCTTGGTGGAAACAACATGACATACAGAGACCAGTTGACATTCAAGGTAGGCGGGAATCATGTGGCTCTTTTTGAGCCACAGACCCGGTCAGGCTGTGGCAGGCTCAAACGAGACATAACGAGACGATGACATTAGGTTGATAAGATACGTACAGAGTGAACGCTTCAACAAAGCAAGCAACTGGGAGGTGGCTGAAATATCTGTGTGTTCAGCTGCCCAAAATCTAATGTAGCATGATTAGCATGAGGATTCAACCAACCTTTGGCATCTTTAGATATCTTTAGGGGGTTGGTTGAATCCTTTATGAAAAGAATGGGTCAACTTGCGAATGGTGACCCAGGTGTATTGCCATGGGTGGCGGTTCGGGTTTCGCCCTCTACCTGGAGAAGGAGAGTTCCCCTTGGAGCGTTGGACGGGTAATTAGTCTCTGTCGGCAAAGAGGAAGATGATATGAGATATGATATAAGGATGTAGAACCAATACTTACTATATGCCATATGCATTTATATGTTTGTTTTGTTGCTTGAACTAAGATAGAAACAGCATGAAGCAGCATTGATTGGGATAATCAACCAATATTTTTTTATAGGAAAATGAGGCCATTGAGCACTCGATTACCGTTGCAATGAACGCGCCGTAAGTCCATCTCAATCGGACAGACCCATCCGGTTTTGTCCAACAAGATTCCGAAACCCAAGGGCCCCAACGGTAAATAGTTTATCCTATCCCATATGCTCCATGTATGGAATATTTACCAACATTTACCCTAAAAATCACCCAAACGTAGGTAAAGATACCATACATTGAGCATATGGGTATTGAACTTGCAAATCTTAACAAATTGGTATAGTTTCAAACATCATGTTGTGTTCAACCCTAGAAATGGGATGATGATCTCAACTGTGTAACACCTGTTTATCACCTCCATACAGGGGGTATTATGTTCATACCCCTCTGGTAATTCAAAATAGCTGTGGAAAATCACATTTCATATGTACTGTAGATCATCTACAAATGGGCCATGTTCATCAATTTTCTATCTTTTTAAACACATTTGCCAAGGGGTATTGGATGTAAATCCCCGGCTAATGCATGAGGACCTGCTGCATGGACACAGTGATCCTTGCTCGACCTTTCAATCGGAGGCTGGAAATCTAGCGGCTGGGATGTGGCCATCTATGGGATGTGGCCGGAATATCGCTACCTGAACCTCAGTAGTTTCTGTTGATTTAGCACGCCATCCCAGATTGTAAAAAAACGCTCATGCGGGCGACTAGGGGCTCACGTTTATTTTGAAGCTTATACCTGTGAAAGAGTTGCAATTCCTTACTTGGAGGGGTCGTACACCAGAATGTGTGGTGCAAAAGTTTCAATACTGTCTGGCCCTGTCCTGTGTGGCAACTGTTCAACTGATGATGGACTGAAGAACCTATTTCTACTTAGTAAATTCTACTTGCTAGCAGTCCAATCTGGGAATGGTCACATCCAAAGCTATAGAAAGAGTCATACACAGACGATGGGTGTTCCAGTGCCATGATCATGTTAAAATATGGAGTCGTACAGCACCCGCAAACTTCTTTGCAAAGAAAAGGCACCTTGTGAATCCTGATGAATCCATGTGTTCTTTAGGATGGCATGCACGGCCTGCAGATGCCTGAGGTCTTGAGTTGTGACAGCAACTTCATCATCGGAGACTTGGAGTATGATGCTCAGAAACTCAGAAACCCATGGCAACATATGGCACCTGCCAGCAAGATGGGATGCATGGATGGATCAATGGATGGATCAATGGATAGATGATTAATTAGATGGATAATGATGGATAGGTAGATGATATTAGATGGGTCAGCCAGATAAGTTGCCAGACAGATCCGTAGCTAGAAAGACAGATAGACTCATGTGGAATTGAGCACTACCAGAAAACACACAGGGATTCAATCGTCCTATGTTGTTTGACGCCCAGTTTGCTTTCTGCTGTCATTGATGAACTTCCTGGTAAACAGCGACATTGTGGGTTGGCAAGGGGATCATCATTGCGACAGTCATCATCATTCATGATGGTAATCACATTATGCTTAGCAATTATCTAGCCTGATCCAAGTTAATCCTTAATGATTACCCGGTTTACGGATTAGCCCGCGGTGGCGGAAGTTTCCCTTACAGAACCAAAAACCGCCAGCCCCAAACAAAGGGAGCGGAGGAAGGAAGCGCAAAGAGCAAAGCACATTGGTAACACAAAGCTCTGGCCAAGCACCGCTGGAAACGCAACACTTTGGTCGCACCACCGCCTTGCAGAACGGACCCGGCACGATTCGAGCCACTGACCTTTGCCGCATCTGAGTATACTGCCCGGCTACGATGTATGATGCCGACGTATCAACCACTAGACTACGGAGCCCGGTGCTTCTAGTACAGCGCCGGGCTCGGAATTGCTAATCGTGGCCCCCCGGGGGCGGAGAAGAAAGATGTAAGCACTGTGGCGCTGACGGTGTTACGGATTAGGTCTCGGATTACGGATTCGACTCTTTGGGGCTTCTGAGACGGATTCCGGGATTACGGATTAAGGTAAGGCCCGCGAGCATTTGGTACAGCTTAGATTATTGTCAATTAATATGGTTCCTGCATATTCCATCATATTCCTGTTCCTGTATTTAATTACAATGTATACATATCTATATGTATATATGTATATACAAGTATAACCAATCACATAATAATATATTAATATATGATTTACCAGTTGTATGATTTCATGACTTGAATGTTGTCATGCGGTGTTTCAATGGTTGTGACTGTACCCTCCAGGTGCTGGGCCTTTGACGACCCCACTGAGGTCTGCGGGGTGAACAGCCGCTGATTTGATATGTGGTAAACCGACTTGACGACTTGGTTGGGCATGGCCACATATTCTCCAGGAATTCTCTACATATTCTCCACATGGTTGTTTTCATGTAAGTTGCGGGTAGGTTACGTTCCCATCAGATGGCGCTGCCAAGTCCGAACTTGAGTGAAGCGTCCCAACATTGGGAACACTGTTGTTTTTGGCCAGGGAAACATGCAGAAGAGATCGTGCCAATGCATTCAAATGCTTGTTATTAAAAAAATCAAAACGTCGGTCAGGGAGACAGAAATGCACACATATTTATAGGTCGAACTGTAAAATGTTCACTGATTTATTGATGGTTGTTTCTTGATATTTTCCCGGTGTTGGAATAATTGTGCGTGTGCGCATATGCGCGTTGAATCGCGTTGATATGTATTCACAGCTTCATTTTGAACCGTATCCTGCTACATGTTAAGCGTCGGTGATGCTTTGCCTCCTTGCAGACTCTTACAGAAACTTCTGTCAAATGGTTGAAATGGTTGTGGAAAATTACTGTAGGCTGTTGCATGTGACTCAGTGATGTTTTCCGTGATAGCTTGGCTGGACAGGTTACAAAATGATCAGCAATCATTCGAACGCCATCAATGCGGTTTGGCCCTAAACTTGGGAACTTCAAAGATCGGCTTCAGTGTAGATCCGCAGTGAAAACCTGAAAATCCAGGAGTTGTAGTCATCCTGTCATCACCGCTTTGCACTCTTCACACTGGAAACGGCACGTAGCTCAGGCTCCAGCCTGTGTGGCTCAATGATTTTGAGACGGCACAGATCGAGCAAACCACACATGATATACCCCAAACATCTCCAAAGACGAGCAAGCAGCCATGACATGACGCGCAAATTTGTGAAGTATGTTTGCTCTCAGTTGCTGTTGGAGTCTCGCCGCAAAAAAGGCCGAACACCAGTCACCAGACTGGACAGACTACTCAGCTTCCCCCAGTTCGGTGGCCTTCAGGCCCTCCACATCCACACTGGTCCCAAAAAGGATTAAAATATTTTTGAAAGATATTAAAGCAAACAAAAACGACATGGTTGTAGATCTATATTAGATCTATGGCCCACACCAGGTACACCAAGTCATACTGCACACATCTTCACGGTCCGCAGAGCTGCGCCACTTCGCCGGGCGCCGGCCGGGCGCCATGGGCGCAGGGCGGTCGGCGGCGGGACCCCCGGCGGGCTTCTTTGCTCAGGGCCTGCCGGAGGCATTGGACTGGAGGCCACGGGGGCAATGGATCTCAGAGAAGCCTTTAACGACCTCAGTTAGTAGGGGTAAAATGGCGGTCAAATGATGGTTTATTAAATGGTGGCTAAATGGTGGTTCAATGATATGGTTTATTGTGTAGCTCTTCCACAATGACCTTTTGGAGTTTTGGGAAACATTATAGATACTCAAGTTGCCCAGATGGGTGGATGACCGCAACTTACCCGGGAGGTGGAGGTCTTTCCGAAAGTGCGCGGTGATTGAGACATGTCCGGAATGGTGAGGGTATGAGCTGGATGGAAGCATCCAAATTTCAGGATAACAGCAACATATAGCAAAGTGTCAACAGAAATGCTTGTTTTTTTCTACTGTTTCACAGTTTCAAATATCTCCCATGTGACTGACTTCCACGGTATCACCATTTCACCCATTGACCGGGCCAGGACATTGATGAAGGTGGTCTTCCAGCCCAGTCATGAGGCGCGTATGGGAGAGAGACATATGTAGATCTATAACGACGGAGACCCTTAGAATCTAATGATGTCCTTGTTTTGGGATAAGCCTGGAAAACCAGCTGTTTAGTTGGCCTTTTGGTTCATCCAAGTAGCTCAGTAGCTCCATCCCATGCAGATCCCATCAGATCTCAGATCCCATCAGATCTCAGCCTGCAGGCTGTGTTAATGTTCACCTCCGAGCGCGAGCGCGCGGGCAGCTCCATCCCACGGCCGCGGAAAGTGGTGCTGACGCTGAGGAGCTGTGACGAGGTCCGACTGGAGCATTTGGGAGCCATGCCATGGGGACCATGGGGCCATGTACAATATCATTAGATTTATGATATTTATGGGCGACAGGCGTTACATGGGTTACATGCGTTTGGATGCCAAATCTGTTCTTTTTGTGTTCCCAAAGTTTGTATAATATACTGTGTATAAAAATATATATGTTTATTTATATGGGGAATTATATATATATATTATATGTGCGTGTGTATACATAATATATAATTATATATATATTGATACAATCACAAGGAGTTTTCTTTGTCAGACAAGGCCCAAATTTGGCCCAATCGGATCGCTTCGGCCAGGCACCCCTACCAGCTGATAGTTTGGGACATGTGGGTGTTGTATCGCAAAAAGGTGGCTCAGCTTCATTGCTGGCTTGACATGAGCAGCACAATGCAGCATGGAACCTGAGAAATGAAAGGGACCTGCAGCCAGACTGCCCAGCTTTGTTCACATTGTGCCTTTGGATTCTCGTGGATTTCAGCAGCACTAAGGCAACAAAATGCAGCCCAATCAGGTGAGGGTTGGGGAACGGCTGGCTCCACGAGTTGATGTTAGTGAGGCTGCCATTCAAGAGGTGGGAATCGCCTACCACAAGAATTTGCTCAGAAATCTCACCTTCCGTCCGCGCATGGATTCACCAGTGCTATGCAGCTTGCGCCAGGATTGCGCCTTTTACTTTCACTTTACAGATAGTGATGGTTCCAAGTCACCTGGCTCACCAGCGAAAGAGTTGTGCCTCATGTTTTTCTTCATCCCTGAAACCCACAGGCTGTGGTCATGTTTCGCATCAACCATCAATTTTCGATGGTGTTCCTTTCATCTCCCCCATTCTTGTGCATGGTATATGATGTTCTTTGTATTTCTGTAAGTTGTCAGCTCGTGTCAGTTGGTCTAAGATGTTACTCATGTCTACAGTCTACAGCATCCCATTTTTTCGCAGCGCCAAACGGGCCATTCCTTGAGGATTTGGTGCGCCTGCGTCATGGACGGCCATGGCCCGTTGGGGCATGAGATGTCCACTCTGGCGATGCAGTGGCTACCACTCCTGGTCTTGCGGGACAGCATGGTGGATTTTTCCGCCATGTTTTTGAGTACCAGGGGGTACCAGGGGGTACCAAGAAACGCCCGGTCTTTTTTTGGCATCACCCAAAAAAAGAAAGACATGGTTCTTGAAAGTCATTGGTTGAGAAACTCAGGCTTGAGCCACTATTCAATTGAGGCCATTTTGTGGAGTTCCTGCAAAATGTTGTTTTTGCCAATGTTTAAAGATTTGATCGCGTGGAAAATGATGGAACATGCAAAGCACGTTTGGGCACAAGGGTGAACGTCATCTCCAGTGTTGCGAGATGATGACTGCTTGAACACTTCCAACGCGAACAGTTTATTCTGAGGAAAGGGGCCTCGAAGAAGACTCTTAACCTGTTATTCTGAACAGTAATGTGCTTAATCCAATGAAAACCCCGGTTGGGGGAATGGTGTATATTATGGTTACCATCCATTTGTGGCATAATTTGGGCATGGTTTATGTTTGAATCTACCACGGTTGATTTTGTGTGACTCAGCATCAATGATTTTGCAACTGTGTGTGCCCACACCATGGTATGAACGCGTCACAAGTCTTGAAGCGGCTGCAGGGCTGTATCTCTGACAAGGATGTGTATGCACAAATTACATCAAATTACATCATTTCAACATCCACTACAGTTTTTTCCAACACACATTTCAACGTAGATATATTAGATAGAGTCATGATAGAGAACCATAGAGATACGTATCATGCATCAGGTGCACCAACGCTAGAATAAATGTGTACCATATATTGGCCCTCTCACACATTCGTATGACATTCGCTTCATCATGAAGCATCCAATCCCAGGAGCCACTGATGGCGTCAGAGCCTGGGAAGATCGTCCCCAAAAATCCTCAAAGCGCTGGGGCCCCAGGGCGTAGCAGGGCATAGCAGGGCGCGTCACAGGGTGGAACAACAGCTGAGATATCATGGTTAGGCCATCATGGATGTGCCATGCACTGGTGGATGGGCAAGGTACGGTAAGGTAATTTTACATGTTGCAGAGCCTCCATTGGTTCTGCCACAGGATTGTCACCATGCTGATTTCACTGCTTGCCTTTGGAAGAACTTCAATACGTCTCCACGTTGCAGGTGACTCCAAATTTTGTTAGCTTCCCATGATTCAGGCTGTATGTGTCAAAGATGGTTAGATCCTCAATGGTGGCTTGCCTAACCATTCTCTTAGATCGTAGCTGTAGGTATACACGAGTATCGTTGATTGATGTTGATTGTATCAGCTCATCGTTTATTGGTTCAACAGTTGCGAACTATTTACGTTGATCCAACAACCATCAATAAGCTATATATGATATATGCTTATAGTTGTATGATTGTATGTTACTAATATTAGTTAGGATCCAATACGATCCAACAAAAATAAAATGTTTATTGTTCGCCCTCAGAATCCTTCGTTGGTGACCAGGTCTTCGATGCGATTTCCGCGGCGTTTCAGAAGATGGGCACGTTGATGCAGCGACTTGGGGTTGTTACCCAGGTGCCCAGCGGTGTTTTTTTTGTTGAAATGGGAGACCTCAAAATCATCCAATATGTGGTGGGAAAAATATGGCAAAAGCTGTAGATCTTGGGCTCAGAGCTGGTGAAATTTGCCACATGTTTGTAGTATAGATACTGGTTGTAGATATGACATAATCATGTATGGGTATGTGATAGCACGCACGGGTTTGCAGGCTTATATTGCACCTACCTTCTTTTATTTGTGGCTCACCCGCAGCCATTTGATTTGAGCAGGACATTTTCTGTCTATTGCACCTACTCTCTCTCTCTCTCTATCGTTTTTTTAATCCTCAGGATACTCATGGATACATACAGCTGGTTGGGACAGTGCCGCCTGAATTAATAGACAAATTGCATTGGATAGGCAGGTGCATGGATGGAGTGATGGATAAAATCGCAGGGACATGACAATTTGTTGGATTTGGATTTTGTTGATCACTAAATCAGCAGTGACATTGAGAAAAACTGGAAGGTGGGATCTCAATAGCTGATTTCACAGGTGTTTTCTTCCCACCCCATGATGCTCCTGAGGAAGGCATCGTTGATTGGCTGGGGTCCCCGCGGTTACAGCGGTGCGACTTGCACACTGGCGCTTTGTGCCCGCGGGCTGTTGCACACAGCCAACATTGGGGACTCAAGGACGGGAAAGGTGATGATACACAGTTGATGCTGTCGAACTTGCACAGTTTTGGGAACAATGTTTCTTCACTGAGCATTTCTCCATTCAGTAGATTCAGTTCTCAATTTCGCAAGATTCTACAATAAGGTGTCCCATCCATCATTCATTGCAACGCGTCTCAGGATGATCCTTGGCACTTATTCCACTGGGGATGAGGCCATTGAACATCGAATCCTCACCCGAGAGCCTTGCCCAGACGGTGACCTCATCTGAGGAAAACTCGTTGGCCCCAAGATGCCCCAAGTCAAAGTATTCGGACCAGCATGGACCAGCACTTTGCTGCTTTTATCAAACATACACAGTTTGTTGACAGCGAACCTCTGATATAAACTACGAATGCCAACTATGAAATGAAATCATAGTAGAAACGATTAGAAACTAGTGGAAGAAAACCACGTGGACCCCAATGAAGATCTAAAAAAAAGATCATTTTTGGATTCCCAAGGGCCTTCCCTTTTTGTATCCCTGAGGACCACAAGCCCGAAGATCCGGACGAGCGCTTGCGCATCGAAGCGCAGGGTGGGATTGTGGCGCGGCAACGCGTGTGACCTCGGTAGCATCATGGGATATGAATGGTGCTGTCAGTGGTATATTGATGGTATAAAAACTGGTGGTATTATGTGGTGCTAGTGGGATACTGGATGGAATTTCTATGCAATCATGGCTAATAATCTAAGTTATCAATTTTTTATTAATTGTATAATGGTATATGAATGGAATTTATCTGGGATACTGGAGGCTAGCATTTTGTTTATTGATGGGATAGAACATGATGGAACATGTTTTTTTTCCCTGATGTATGGTATATTGATGGGATTTATATGGTATGTCACCACCATGGACCAGCTTGATCTGATTTTTTGGATGTGTTTGAAAACATGTTCTACTCCCCCAAAGGCCCCAAAAGGGCCATTCGAATAGGAAAAACGATGTTGAACCATTGATGAGCCAGTGGAGTTAGGGCGTACCCAACGTTCAGACAAAACCATACTCGTACGTTGAGCAACCCCAAATAAACAAAACAGATCAGAAAAGTTGGAAAGCTGGAAAATCATTGGCTAATTAGTTTCTGCAGCATCAGAAAAAGTTTTCCCTTTTAAAGGGGTTCTTGTGGCCAGACTAATTAACAATCTAAGAACAGGGGTTTGATTTAATCAGCAGAGGCTTGGAGCTTTTTGGGGGGATTGACCACGTCTGAAGTCGGGCAGATGGAGGGACGTGTGGGTCACAATGAGGGATGCCAACTGCAGTTTGTGGGTCCCTAAGTTTGGAAGCGGCCGCGGACTATTTGATGTTCCAAGCAAAGGAAGCCTTACCAAACTTTGCACAAGTGCAGAAAACGATTTGGAACTGTGAGTACATGTTTTGCCCCAGGCTCATCTACCAATTTCATTGCCAAGAGCAGTTCACATCGTAGTGACAGATTTGCACTACCTGGTTGTGGCACTTCCACGCTTAATCTCTTGATTTTATTTGCAAGAAAATTGATGTTTTTGCAGATTCAAAGCATTGAACACAACATTTTTATATTAAGAAAGCTGACATTAACATCCACAATTTTCCACCAGCAGCCTTTGGTAATCACCCACTATAGTACTTGGATGATTTTCCCAGCTATCAACCTCCATTGAGTCGCGAGATTTTCCTTTGCCAGGTCTGATTGCGGGTATACATCCATGGCTTAACCCCATGGTTTAACCAATGATTATCCCATGGCTCATGATTAATCAATATTAATCCATGGTTATCCAGTAATTTTGTTTTTTTTCCATCATTATCCATCCATAGTGTGTTCATTTTTGAATGATAAAAGAGTCAATGGATTGGTTTAAGGGAAAATCTACAGGAAACCATAGATTTTCCCATTAAATATGGGGCCCTATCTATAAATTTTCCCTTAATCCAATCCATCGAAACAGATGGCCATCATGGCCCAGGTATCTGGATGAATGGCCCTATGTTGGCCTCAACATGTCCCGTTCCCTCGGGGACTCCAAGCTCCATGCGGTGGGCGTCTCGGACGTGCCGGACGTCACCAGCATCTTCTTGGGCGAGGGCGGCGAGGGCGGCGAGGGCGGCGAGGCGTCCCCGCAGCTGCTTGGTGGGTTGGAAGATCTAACAGGATCTATATATTAATATTTATATATAATAATATATATATAATATATATAATATAATATATATATTATATATATAATATATAATATATAGTATATACATATATTTAATATATATATATATATATCATAATACTAGGAGAAATGGGTGTATAAACTTAACTTATATAATATCTCATAACTTTTTGTAATATCTCATAACTTTTTGTTTTTGGTGATTTTCCACATGAGGCGGGCCCTAAATTTAGCTAAGTTGAGGCCCATAACTTGTGGTTAAGGTTTGGGTTTATGGGCAGTATGACTAGGGGTAATGGAGTTAAACGAGCAAACAGAACTGGGGGGGCATCATCTTGCAGGACTTTTCCCGAGATGTTTGAGGAAAGTTGAGGGTTTTTTCATGTTTTTTTTTTTCCCCCCGTGGGTTCTCTCCAGTTTCTTTTTGCCAAAAGGGATGGATGAAACACTTTGGGAAATGAGTAAATCATGGAAAATCATGGAAAAGCTGCGTTTTCAATAGGACGTACGGCAGGATCATCTACAAATGGATGTAAATGGATAGTGGGTGATTCTCATTGCCAGGTTGAACTACTGGAGGGTATGGTGGTATACAGGTGGATCTGCCTGTTGGATCCAGCCGCGTGGCCAAGGTTCCTCGTGGTAGCTTCAGATGGAGTTGCATGGCTAAGCGCTGAAGGATGTGAAAGACTTGGTGCTGATGACGATGATGATGATGATGATGATGTTTGGTGGGGGTCAGGATTTTGAAAGACTCTGCCAATATATAATTATATATATATATATATGCTCCAGTCAAATGCATACAGAGCTTAGTCTTCGTAGATAGCGTGTCGTTTTCTGAGTGCCTACCTTCATGGCTTTTCATTGAAGTATACAGTACTGCATTGTAAATTGGCAGGTACGGGGTGGATTTCCTCCCAGAAACTCCAGGAAGCTCGGGGTCACAAACGATTCATTGGATGTTGATCAGCAAGCCAAGCAGCAACTCATGGTAGTCAGGTGTGGGACTATACCTCTGCCAAAGATGCCGCCACAGTGGTGGGGCGACACTTGCAGATGGGTCGCTGGATTGAAAGTTGGGTTCCCTCGTGGTTTGTCCATCTTGGTTGTCATAATATTCCCCGCTCTTGATGGGAAGACCCTTTGTAGATTTTAAATGGGCATAGGCAATATTCTGTTGGTGGATGTTGGAAGATGGGTTGGGTTGGGTCACGGAAAGCTTTTTTTTCCTGGCCCCTATCCATCCCTATCCCACCATAGCCCACCATAGCCCACCATAGCCCCAGAGGCAAAGGCGCAAAAGTCGCAGCAGAAACCCTGGTGCTTCTGGCGCAAGAATCCTGGGAAGCCGAGTCCCCCGACCTGGAAACTGGGCAGCAGACCGCCCTGGGCCCGCTATTTTTGGATGATACAACCAGCGCCCTTTTTCAAACGGTTTCACCATGTGTTTAGTATTGTTTGGTTATGTTTGGTTCTAAGATCATCTAAGGTCATCGTAGTAGACTTCGATGTTGTCCATCGTACCTGTTTTTGTTTTTCTGCGAATGGGTTGAAAGTGGAAACCAGTCATCCGTTGGCCCCCCCAAAAAAAAAACAACACTGCGCCACTATGATCCACTATGCAGATAGAAAATGATAGGAGGTTGGGAACTGGCTCTCAATTTCTTGAAACAGAGCAGGGGTTTGGATGGCCATCCCTAATATTGTAGGAGGTTTCAACATATTACATCTAAGATCATGGCAGTATCAGGCAGTCGAGGTCGAGGAGTGCTGATGTCCGAGATTTCCTGGGTTTCAGTGGCGTTTGCCCGTACCGCCTTGTTGGGCAAGGATGACATCACCGCCATCGTCGTGCAGATTGGAAGCAGGTGGGATGGGAGAGTTGGAACGTGGGACAACTGACGAAGCAAGACATTTGATCATTTGACTTTGCTTTTGTGGAATTTCTGTGAACCTTACCATTTCTACAGTATTCTACACGCAAAGAGGAGATCGAATCTGACAAGCTTTGGCGGCGTGCTGCACATGCAGAACAAAGGATCTGGCATGCAGCACAGGGCCAAGTGACCCCATATGCAATCCGTACTCCTCTGATGCAGTAGTGACACTCAACCACACCTGCGGTGAGGTGCCAGTGTCCAGAAGTACAAGGCCTAGTCCAAGCCGTGTAGGCATTGTTTCTGCGAAATTGGTTTGTCAAGAAATGATGGGCCTATCCCCATTGACTTCACATGACAAAGAAAGATAAACCATTTGGCATTGGTGCAGGATAATTATGTTTTGTTGGGTATCCTGGTAGGAAGTACCCCTAGCATGTTCTGGGCATGGTATCCTTTCAAGTTTTAGCCTTTGATTAAGGAAGCATCAGCCGGCAATTGTAGAAACTTTTGATCATCAAACTAATCAAACATTCCAATCGGAAATCCCCGTCAAATACTACATTAAAATCTGTAAAATATACAATCTAAATTTGGATTTTCCATCAAGCTATGTTAGGGCCATCACTTGGAATCATTCCAAAACCTCCAGGCTGATACCAGCCATCCAGCTGATGGAACCTGTACAGTGGCCGCAGCATAAAACAGGGGGTCCGCAAGGGTGCCTTTCTGATGGCAGTGGAATTTCTTCCGCAAAACGAGGCATGTCTGATTCACATTCAGTGACCTGTTAACCGAGGGTTCCCGATCATTTCCATGATTTTCCTGTTGAACCTGGGGAGTTTTCCAACCATCCGAAGTCAGCGGATGGCTGAAGCAAGACTTGGCAGATCCGATCGCTGGCTCAAGACACGCCAGTTGTCCAACTTTCTCCCTGATCTCAGTGATCCTATCGAGGCCGCGGTACGATGACGACCCAAGAGACCCGAAACACCTTGAAGTTCACCCAGATGTGCAGATACTTTCGTGCCAACCGTTGCCACATGGGCAACGAGTGCAATTTTGCACACTCACCTGAAGAGCTGAGAAAGGCACCAAGTTTGGTTGGCACCAAATTGTGCTTTCAATTCAGTTCCAAGGGTCAGTGCAGCAAGGGTGCAGCCTGCAACTTTGCCCACGGAAAGGAGGAGCTTCAGTCAATGCCAGTTGAAGCCAGAAGTCCGGTGGGGCGCAAGGGCGGCATGGATCCCATGAAAGTTAAGGCAGCAGCGGAGGTTAAGGCACTTAACGTCCAGGGTCCCAGGGATGCGTGTGATGCAATCTCCAAGATGCACTTGCTTCAGATGAAGATGAACCAGCTGGAGTCCTTGAGCATGCGTTTGGCAGTACGCCCACCTCCTGGCTTGGAGGCAATGAATTTACCCATGAGTAGCTTCACGGGTAGCCTGGCATGCATGGATAGCGAAATCTGGAGCATGGCATCGACGTCATTTCCCAGCAGTCCTCGCGTGGATGAATCAGAAAGTGAAATGTTCAGCTCACTCCTGTCTGACAGAAGTGAGGCATTTTGGCTTTGATCTGATCTTGCTGATCATCGTTGATCATCCCTGATCTATGTTGATCTTCATATTGATCTTCATAATGATCTTCATGTCAATCTTCATGTTGATCTTCAATAAGCGTTGAAGGATGTCAAGGGACATCCGCAGAATGTGTGATTTGTACAAGATGTATAAGTCACTGTACAGAATTTTGATGAATTTTGCGCTGCAGAATTTTCCCTCAGATCATCTACAGGTGGTGGTTCGAGCCCTGCACTTTGCAATTCAGAGTTGCCCCAGGGAACCTTTTTTCCTCTCTCGGGCATGGCAGAAGAGGAGTCAATTGCACGACCGGACCAAAAAAGTTGATTCCATGGTAGTTTCACACATTTGGAATATTTGGACTAGGCCGCATCACACAATCTGAGCCAAAGCAGCTTGGATCCGTATGGATCCGTGCACTTGATGAACATCAGTCCCAAACACAGCAGGTTTCTGTAGGTTCTGTTCCTCCCTGCTCAGGTGCTCGGGCTGGAGCCCTCCAAACCTGACCCAGGCTGGAGTTTGGGGATTGCCCAGGGAGAGAATCCGTACGAACAAGGCTCGTAAACCAGGACCTCCCAAAGAGGACTGCACAGAAACCGGAAAGTTTATTTTGCCTTGAAACATCTTGAAACATCTCCCAGATCCGCAGGGTACTTTGTCCGTTGAATTGTTGTTAAAGGTTGTGAAGATTCTTTTTTTTGTGGGGGGGAAGGGGGTGCCTTAAAACATATAACTTTGCATAGAGCACTGCCAGATCATCAGCGGCAAAAAATGACATCAACGCTCTCCTTCAGTATGACACGTGGGTATCTAAAGAATTAGGGGTGCCCAAGAGATCCCAAGTAGACTAATGTAAAACAGACTAGCTTCGGGATATTCAGCCAGAGGCTCCCCAATTGGCAGCTAGCATCAGCATTTACATTGAAATATATACCAGTAGTACCGCACAAGGCGGTGGCGGAAGTTTCAAAAATAGGAAACCTATAGGAGAGATTGGTTGTTGTGACTCCGGGATGGCAGAGCGAATCCACTGATGGACCGAAAGGTGCTTGAGGTCTCCTCTCTTTCTCTCTCTTTCCCTGACTATCTACCTACCTAGCTATCTATCTTCTATGTATGTATCTATCTATCTATCTATCTATCTGTCTATCTGTCTATCTGTCTATCTGTCTATCTGTCTATCTGTCTATCTGTCTATCTGTCTATCTGTCTATCTGTCTATCTGTTTATCTGTCTATCTGTCTATCTGTCTATCTGTCTATCTATCGATCTATCTATCTATCTCTCCCTCTCTCTCTTTCATCTGTTTGTCTGTCTAGCTGTCTACCTGTCTATCTGTCTATCTATCTATCTATCTGTCTGTCTATCTGTCTACCTGTCCATTTGTGGTGCAGTGTCATTCAGTGTAATGTAGTGTAGTGTAATGTAGTATAGTGTAGTGTGTAGTGGAATGTAGTGTAGTGTAGTGTAATGTAGTGCAGTGTAATTTCGTGTAGTGGAGTGTAGTGTAGTCGTAGGTGTAGTTGTAGTGTAGTGGAGTGTAGTGTAGTGTAATGTAGTGAAGTGTAGTGGAAGGTAGTGTAGCCTAGTGTAATGTAGTGGAGTGTAGTGTAATGTAGTGGAGTGTAGTGGAGTGGAGTGTAGTTCTGTAGTCTGTAGTTGTAGTGGAGTGTAGTGTAGTGTAATGTAGTGAAGTGTAGTGGAAGGTAGTGCAGTGTAGTGTAGTGTATAAAGTAGTGTAGTGTAGTGTACTTTAGTGTAGTGGAGTGTAGTGGAGTGTAGTGGAGTGTAGTTGTGTAGTTGCAGTTGTAGTTGTAGTGTAGTGGAGTGTAGTGTAATGTAGTGAAGTGTAGTGGAAGGTAGTGCAGTGTAGTGCAGTGCAGTGTAGTGTAGTGTAATGTAGTGTAGTGTAGTGTAAGGTAGTGAAGTGTAGTGGAAGGTAGTGCAGTGTAGTGCAGTGTAGTGTAGTGTAATGTAGTGTAGTGTAGTGTAGTGTAATTTAGTGTAGTGGAGTGTAGTGGAGTGTAGTGGAGTGTAGTGGAGTGTAGTTGTGTAGTTGTAGTTATAGTTGTAGTTGTAGTGTAGTGGAGTGTAGTGTAATGTAGTGAAGTGTAGTGGAGGGTAGTGCAGTGTAGTGCAGTGTAGTGTAGTGTAATGTAGTGTAGTGTAGTGTAATGTAGTGAAGTGTAGCGGAAGGTAGTGCAGTGTAGTGCAGTGTAGTGTAGTGTAGTGTAATGTAGTGTAGTGTAGTGTAGTGTAATTTAGTGTAGTGGAGTGTAGTGGAGTGCAGTTGTGTAGTTATAGTTGTAGTGTTGTGGAGTGTAGTGTAATGTAGTGTAGTGGAGTGGAGTGTAGTGTAGTGTAGTAGTGGATTGTAGTGAAGCGAAGCGACATCTGAACCTCCAAAAGTGGTCCGAACCCCTAGTGTTTTGTACATTTTGACTTCGAAATGTGCTTCGCGCCACAACGGCGTGCACTTTTTCGACATCTCAACTTCCAAAAGTGGTCCGAACATCTATGATCCTTTTTCCTCTGGAAAATGGAGGGGGTCAAGGCTCACCGGAAAACGTTTTCTTTCTGGTTTTGGAACCGTCCAGCCAGGTGATTTTATAGAAAACAGTGGTTTTTTGTGATTTTATAGCCAAGCTCCATGTTTCTGCTATCCTGGTAGGGGGGGTCAAGGCATCTCATTTTATAGAGGCCAACTGGTAGGTGATGGTTTTTCTTTTTCACTTTTTACATGTCAAGAAAAGGTGGGGAAGGCCATACCAAAAAAAACCTGCCGGTGACCAAATCTCCCAAGATATCTCTATCACAGATTCTTTGCATCAGCCATTTTGGCTGAGGAACCAGCATGAAGCGGTTTGTCGGTTGGTCACAGATTTGAACATGAAGCGGCTTGCCTGCAGACATCAATCAGGGTTCGGTGGCTCAACATGCCAAGGCGCAGGTAGGTGCAGCCACCATGTAAAAAAAAAAAAAACAAACTAAACTAAAAATCAAAAACCAAAAATAAAACAAAAATAACAATCATAAAAATCCTCCTCTCCCCTCAAAAAACAACAACATCAAAAACAAAAAAAATTAAAAAAAAACATAAAAAAATATATAATAAAAAAAACAAAACAAAAAAAAAAAAAAATAAAGAAAAAGAAAAAACAAAAAATCAAAAAAAAAAAAAAAAAAAAAAAAAAAAACAAAAAAACCAAAAAAGAAAAAAAAACGAAAAAAAAAGAAAAAAAAAAAAAAAAAAAAAAAAAAAAAGAAAAAAAAAAAAACAAAAAAAAAAAAAAAAAAAAAAAAAAAAAAAAAAACCCAAAAACAAAAAATAGCTGAAAGCTGCCTTGCTTGGCAGGTTGGCACGGGAGGTCAGCTCAGGATGCGGCAAGAATGTGGAAGAAGATGACTTGGCAAAGACAGGCAGAATGGCTAAGTAGTTCTAACTAGTTCCCTGGAGCATCTTGGGGCACAGCAAAGCACAGCCACCACAGGAGCCAATGCTGCACCTCAATAAAATAGGGGTTGGCACAGGAGGTTAGCTCAGGATGCGGCAAGAATGTGGAAGAAGATGGCTTGGTAAAGACAGGCAGAATGGCTAAGTAGCTCTAACTAGCCCCCTGGGGCATCTTGGGGCACAGCAAAGCACAGCCACCACAGGAGCCAGGAACCAAAAAATAGTTGAAGGCTGCCTTGCTTGGCAGGTTGGCACAGGAGGTCAGCTCAGGATGCGGCGAGAATGTGGAAGAAGATGACTTGGCAAAGACAGGCAGAATGGCTAAGTAGCTCTAACTAGCTCCCTGGAGCATCTTGGGGCACAGCAAAGCACAGCCACCACAGGAGCCACTGCTGCACCTCTAGAAAATGGGGCTCCCTGACTTCCTTCAGGAACCAAAAAATAGTTGAGGGCTGCCTTGCTTGGCAGGTTGGCACAGGAGGTCAGCTCAGCATGCGGCAAGAATGTGGAAGAAGATAGCTTGGCAAAGGCAGGACAGACTGGCTACGTAGCTCTAACTCCCTGGAGCATCTTGAGGCACAGCAAAGCACAGCCACCACAGGAGACAATGATGCACCTCTAGAAAATGGGGCTCCCTGACCCCCTTCAGGAACCAAAAAATAGTTGAAGGCTGCCTTGCTTGGCAGGTTGGCACAAAAG